TCTCTCTCTTCCTCACACAAACACGAGCATGGCCATCGCAAGTGGGTCGTGGGTAGCCACCGTGAACCACCACAGCTTCGCCTCTCCGACCAAACCCGTTTTCTTTCCTACCCAAAAGCCTCACAGTTTCCATGTCTGTTCCTCTCGATGCTCTCTTGTCCTTGAGGAAGATGAAAAGAAGTCACCGAGTCCCAAACAAGACAAGTGGCCATTTTTAGAACCCGATCCGGATGGTCTCAACCGGGTCTTATCCAGGTTGCTCCGAGACCCGGAAACCCGGAAACTTTCTCATGAATTCTACGAGAAAGCTAAGGAGAACTCAGAGTTTAGGACGACCAAACATCTCATCAATCACTTGGTGAACTCCAAGAATTGGGACTTGCTCGTCTCGCTTTGTGAGGATCTTAGGGAATGTAAAGCATTACCCGATGCTCATACGTGTTCGATACTGATCAGGAGTTGTAACAGAGAACGAAAATTCCGAATCACGCATTGTTTGCTTAACGTGTTTAGATCAGACAAATCATTGGCAGTGTCTGCATCTGATTCGGCGATGAAAGGCTTTAACAAGCTTCAGATGTATAGTAGTACGATCCAAGTGTTTGATAGAATGAAAGCTCATGGAGTTGAGCCAAGCCCGGGATGTTATTGCAGGATAATGGAGGCTCATGAGAGGATTGGTGACAATCAAAAGGTGGTTGAGTTATTTCAAGAGTTTAAGAAGAGTGTGAGGTTGAGTTTCTTGGCCAAGGAATCAGGCTCCATCTACACCATTGTATGCTCGTCTCTTGCGAAATCAGGACTCACATTGGAAGCTCTAGAGGTTTTGGAGGAGATGAAAGATAAAGGAATTCCGGAGAGTAGTGCATTGTACTCTACGCTGATCCGTGCCTTAGCGGAAGCGCAAGAGGTTGTAATGGTCGAGAAGCTATTCAAAGAAGCAGGAGAGAAGAAACTGTTGAAGGATCCAGAAATGTGTTTGAAGGTTGTATTGATGTATGTACGAGAAGGAAAAATGGAGAAAACTCTAGAGGTTGTGGCCGCGATGAGAAAGAGCGAATTAAATGTCTCTGATTGCATTCTCTGCGCGGTTGTGAATGGATTTTGTAAACAAAGAGGTTTTGCAGAAGCAGTTAAGGTTTATGAATGGCTTATGAAGCAAGAATGCGAGGCTGGGCAAGTGACTTACGCAATAACCATCAATGCTTACTGTCGACTAGAGGAGTACGACAAGGCTGAAACGTTGTTTGAAGAGATGGTGAAGAAGGGATTTGACAAATGCGTTGTCGCATACTCAAACATTATGGATATGTACGGGAAAACAGGGAGGCTAAGCGATGCGGTGAAACTCATGGCTAAGATGAAACAAAGAGGATGTAGACCCAACATTTGGATTTACAATTCCTTGATTGATATGCATGGAAGAGCTATGGACTTGAGGCGGGTTGAAAAGATATGGAAAGAGATGAAGAGGATGAAGGTGTTGCCGGACAAGGTGAGTTACACAAGCATGATCAGTGCATATAATAGAGCAAAAGAGTTGGAGAAATGTGTGGAGCTTTACCGGGAATTTAGGATGAGCAGAGGAAAGATTGATAGGGCCATGGCAGGAATCATGGTTGGTGTATTCTCCAAAACCAGCAGGATTGATGAGCTAATGAGGCTGTTGCAGGACATGAAAGTTGAACGAACCAAGCTAGATGCGAGGCTCTATACCTCAGCTTTGAATGCTCTGCGTGATGCGGGTCTCAATTCCCAGATTAGATGGCTGCAGGAAAGCTTTAACACTGCACAAACTAGTACTTCAAGATATTCGAATACCAAGAACCTACGAACTTTGCAGGGTTCTTGAGTAGAAAAAGAAACTGTAGAAGTCAAGATTCTTTTTGTAATTAAACGTACTATATTGCCATAGAAATCCAATATCTTGCAAATCGAAGATTTCCCTGAAGTTGTAAAGTCTTAAAGAATCATTGGGATTTTTCCGAAACATGATACATAAAAAAGAACGGCTAGATATAAAGTACACTCAAAGAAAGACAAAGGAGAAACACAGAGCGGTAACCAGTGTATTCATCACTCAAAATCATATGAATAGAAAATAGTGAGCAGTACTAGAGCGAGCAAGCGATCCCACCCCAATACACTCATAATTACCTGTTTTGGTCATCCTGCTTTCGATTCTCAATCTCACTTCGAACTTGCTTCAGCATATTGCACTTGAGCTGTTTCTACAGCTTTTGCATCACCTGAACAACATCCACCT